CAAAGACGTGAATTTAACTTTAACGATAAATCAAGTCTTATAACGTAATTCGAACGAAAAATAGTCACAGATGCCTCTGATATACGCACACACAAACGTACATATATTCGGTATTGTTTGGAAATGACATTTTGAATTTATTGTGACTTATGGCGGGGTGATAGTGGGGAATGTGATGGTGTTGATGACGGTGATGATGATGGTGATAATGATAATGATGGTGATGATGACGGTGATGATGATGGTGATAATGATAATGATGGTGTTGATGACGGTGATGATGATAATGGTGCTTTTGATGATAAGGGTGATGATGATGACGGTATTGTTGATGATGATGATAGTGATGATGACGCTGATGATGGTAATGATGGAGATGATGAAGATTGAGGATGATAACAATAATGATAATAAAAATGACGATGGTAACGATAATGATAATAATGATAATGATAACAATAACACCACTAACAATACGAAGATACACACATCCAGCTGCAATGTAAGTTCTTTTCTTCTCCCCCCCTATCCACCGGCTGCCCCCCCCTTTCCCCCTATCCACCGGGTGCCCCCCCCCTTTCTCCCTATCCACCGGCTGCCCCCCCCCCCCTTTCCCCCTATCCATCGGCTGCCCTCCCCCCCCTTTCCCCCTATCTACCGGCTGCCCTCCCCCCCCTTTCCTCCTATCCACCGGCTGCCCTCCCCCCCCCTTTCCCCCTATCCACCGGCTATCCTTTTCCTCCCTCCCCCCCCCTATCCACCGGCTGCCCTCCCCCCCCTTTCCCCCTATCCACCGGCTCTCCTTTTCCTCCCTCCCCCCCCCCTATCCACCAGAAAGCAAGTCATCATGCCACCGGATTAGAGATCGCACAGTATGCAAATTAATCTTAGATAGGCAGTCGAAGAAATAAGGGAGAGCTGGGAGGAAGGAGGAGGAGGAGGAGGAGGAGGAGGGAAGATGAGGAGGTGGGGATGGGAGGGAGGAAGAGGAAGTGGAGAAGGAGAAGGGGAAGGAGAGGAGTGAAGGATCATCGCTGAAGGTATGGAGGGGATGTGGGGTTGAAGGGGGGGGGGAGAGAGGAAAATGAAGAAGGTGGGTAGGACAGAGCAAAGTGGGGGGGGGGGAGGGGGTGAAGTGAAAGTTCAAGGGATGGAATCGGGAGAGAGAGGGGGGGAGGGGAGGGAAGAGTGGAAGAAGAAAAACAGGTAAATAACAGGAAATAACAATAACAGATAATAATATTAAGAAAATAAAAGACCGAAACGAAGGGGTGATGAGGACAAATGAAGAGGAGGAGGGGGGTGAGGGGGGTGGGAAGAGAGTGAAGAGTCAATAAGAAATTTCAAAGTAGACGATCATCGGGCGAGGAAGTGAAACTCAAAAAAAGAAAAAAAAAAGAAAAAAAAAGAAAAAAAAATTGTCTCGCGGTCCCTAACTCAGGTCGAAAGGTCATCAAGATGTCATTACAGAAGGTCATCCAATTAAGTCTCTATTATATTTTACCTCCCAGACGCAACTATCCTTAATCAAATTTTTTATTCCTTTTCTATTTTTCTTTTGTCCTCTTTTTCCCCCCCCCCCCCCCCTCTCTCTCTCTCTCTCTCTTCTCTCTCTCTCTTTTCTTCTTCTCATCCTGTTTCCTGCGATTAATTAAAGCCTTTGACTCGAGATAATTAAAATATCCAGTCTCTCCGTGTCTTTTTTCGTGTTTTTTTCCTTATTTTCTTCTTTATTGTCGTTGTTATTATCTTTATAAACTTTGTTAGTATGCATGGAATTTCTTTTGATTTTTCTATTTCCTATTTATTTCTTTTTATCTTTCTCTTTCTCGTTTGCATATTCGAGTTTCATTGGAAAAGGAAGGCAAAATAAACCATAAAAAAAAACATTCGTAATATATTTTGACTAAATTGGCTGGAAAATTGAAAAAGGAACGAAGTTTTTTTTCTGTCTTAGTTTACATGGTTCTGTCGTGGATGTCATTTAGAATTACTTTTGGTCAGATGAAGAATAAACAAACAAAAACAAACATAGAGAAACAGATACATACAAACATACATATATATATGTATGTATATATATACGTATATATATGTATCTGTACGTATGTATTTATGTATATATATACATATATATATGTATCTGTACCTATGTATGTATGTACGTATGTATGTATGTATGTATGTGTCTGTGTCTGTGTCTGTGTCTGTGTATGTATATATATATATATATATATATATATATATATATATATATATATATATATATATATATATATATATGAGTGTGTGTGTGTGTGTGTGTGCGTGTGTGTGTGTGTGTGTGTGTGTGTTTACACATGTCCCTGCATACACATCTCTTACATATCTATCTCTATCTATCGTTCTTCCTGTCTATTTATCTAGAAATCCCTCTACGTACGTACACACACACACGCTTGCACGTGTACATTCACATTTACACACATGTATGTATATCAAAACGAGGGTCGCCGACGCAAGAGCGACTGGGCATTGTCCTCAGCAACAACAATAACAGAAAAATGGAAATAAAGATGAAAAGTCCAGAGTGGTGAGAGTAAGCTCCCCTTTGACTCTGGCGTGGCACTTCATCGGCCTCGTGAACGACACTCACTCCCGGCACCCGAAGCCACTTGTGAACATGTGGACAACAGGTTTCTGACACGTTCCGCTCTCGTGGCAATCGTGTTGTCCTCCGTTTTCTATGAGAATTGCTCTGTTTGTTTTTTTGTCTCTTTTGTCTTCTTTTTCGTTTTATAAAGATTGATTGACTCTATACATCATTTGTCGTGGTATATGGAGGTAAGTGATGAAAGACACACACACACACACACACACACACACACACACACACACACACACACACACACAAGTATAAGAAATATACATACATTTATATATTTGACACTGATAACAGTAGGTCCGTGAACATCTCGACATTGGAAAGGCTACAACCAGCAAAGCTTTTAAACTAGTATTTGAAGCATGAAGCAGGTGGAAAGCAGGTGATTAATTTTCACTTCACCAATGGCTCGATGGCCGAAAAAAAATCTTTGCCGAAGACTAGAGAGTTCATGGAGTTACTGAAGGAGAGAAACTGAAAGAGAAAAATAGAAGTGACTCAGAATAAGTGTTTAGAGACAAGTGACTCAAAATAAGGAAACGAATTAAAGGCATAAAATACCAGTAAATGACTTCATACAATTGATTTAAAATAACTTAGTGATTTTAGATAATTGATTTAAAATAAGTCACTTAAAATAATTGATATAGTGACCTGAAATAATCAAGTGGCCTAAAACAATTTATATAAGATAACTGACTTCCATTAAATTTATTCAAATAACTGCCTTGAAATCACCTCATTTTAAACAACTAAGTACCTTCAGATAAGAAATACACTTAAAATAACTCGAAGTGACACATTATAAGTAAGCAAGTGTCAAAGTCAGCACGCATGACTCAACCTTTCAGTATCAGTGAGTCGTTTTGAGAGGCGGTTGGCAGCGGGCAGTGACCAGCATCTGTCACGGCTGAGGGATGAGGCTGTGGGCTCTATTTTACTCTCGGTTGATGCGTTAATGTGGTTGAATTTCATATATCATTCTGTGCTGGGGATTCGTGTCCATTTACCTTTTTTTTTGTCAGGGTTTTTTAACTCAAAGTCTGATTTTTATGCACCCTTGGTTTTGATGAGTGGCGGTGTTTATTCGTTTAGGCTTAGTAGTCTCGATCCTGATTAAATGAATATGAGCCCATCTCTCTCTTTCTCTTCGTTTTTTTTTCTCTCTCTCTATCCCTCCGTCTTTTCCTCCCCACCTACTCTCTCCCTCTCCTTCCTCCCTCCCTCCCTCCTTCCCTCTCTCTCTCTCTCTCTCTCTCTCTCTCTCTCTCTCTCTCTCTCTCTCTCTCTCTCTCTCTCTCTCTCTCTCTCTCTCTCTCTCTCTCTCTTCTCTAGTTCACGAAAGAATCTTTTATTTCTCTCGCAGGTAAGATTATACGAATGCGTTAATTTTTCCTAATATCATGTTACTTACTCAAGAAGAGAATGTTAATTGCTCACAGAAACGTCGAGATTCTGCGTCGTGTCCATTCTTTTCATATCTTTTTCGCCGAAATATGAGTCTGACGTACCTGCAGTAGGCCAACAGCCACTAAAATGTCTAATCTATTATAAAGCTTCTGTAAACCATTCTCTTATTGGTTCGTGCCGGTTCAGTGGTTTAGTTCCGTTCGCTAGAATAGTTCGAATCCTCAACAGGTAAGTTAAACTCTCTCCTACTACTTCGTTCCTGTTGATCGCTCCCCCCTCCTTGCTGTTTTCCAAGAGTAATCGACGCGTCTCGTAACATATCAACAGCCAACATCATAACATGTGTTACGTGCGTGTTCTGTAGCTCGCCACCTGTCTGTACCGTGATAAACCAGCTGTTTTGGAGACCATCTGTGAAGGATCCTGAGGGACCTTGAGACATAAGACCTAAATTGATATGTCACGGAGCTTCTGTTGTGATTTATGATATAGTTTTGGCAAGTTGTCGTGATGTCGAGCTTGTGTTGTGCCTAACAGGTGTGTCTACATATTGATTTTATGCTTTGTTTTTTAAAGACGTGCAGGGCATGGTTCTGCATCAGATGCTTATGCTTGTGGAAAGTGTTTCCTTCGGGAGAGAAAGAAAACGGGAAGAAAGGAAGAGAAAAAAAGGACAAGGAAGGTAGAATGAGAGGTAGGCAAAAGGAAAAGGAGGAAGGTGTTCAGGTGAGCGAGGTGGTGGGGTGGCGCCTGAGGTAGGGTGGGATGGAGAAGAGGAGAGGAGAGGAGAGGAGAGGAGAGGGGGAAAGGAAGGAGGAGAAAAAGGGTTTGGCACTCATCACTGCCACCACCCTCTCCACCCCCACCACCTCCTCCAACCCAATGGCACCACAGCAGTCATAATCTTAGAGTGAGGTGGCACGTCGGACGCCAGTCGTGAGCAGGA